GAAAATAGATTTTCAGGACCTTTAATAAAGCAATTATCAAAACATGCTATTTGGTATTTTGCATAACTGCACAAGTACAAGTTTTATCTTTTCTATCATTTAACTTGCTGTGAAAAATAAAAACCATACCAAGACTCGTGTGGTGGACCCTATAATTTATTGTATCATAAATTTGTAATGGTTGGAAAATGGAGACTTTTGTGGTTCCAGAGAGCCCATTTGCATCCATGTGTGACAGTGTGAGTGGTTTAAGCAGAACTTTAAACATGGCAACAGTTTTTGTGGTTTTATATCACTGTGTAAAATGACTTAGGAGTCACCTCAGAGCCTCATGAATTTTTATACCCAGAAACAGCGACCTGGGCTATTTGAAGAATATACAGTTTATATATCTTTGAGCCACACACAGTAAGGAACTGCTCACTCACTTCCAGACTCCATTATCGTTTCCTAATAATCAGTCTTGCAGATCCTTAAGTCGTTTTTGACCTAATTTTAGTTTTCTGTATATGTTTTGCAAAACTGACTGGAATTGACCCAAACCCATGTAAATTATTACAGCATAAAACTTTATCATTCTACACACAATACAGTCTATTGTGCTTTTTGTGTTGAGCTTGTCATTCCCTTGCAAATTTCTATAGCATTTCCATCTCAACTGCTTGAGAGGTTGAATACAGAAGACACAGCGACAAAGAAAATACTGTTTCTAAATGTATCTAAAACTCAAAGAGCTGAACATGGGAACAATATTTACAGTTTGCTAATAAGTAGAATAATTTAGCCCTGGATTTCAGGGCAATCAGGATGTGGGATTTTCAAGATATTTACTGTACTTCAAGACAAAGAATGCATGTCTAAGATAAAAACACACAGATTCTGTGCTGTTGAGCTGAACTCTCTCCTTCACTGAATTGGAACTAAAATGGCCTCCAAGTGTACTGAACAATGGGGGTGAGCATAATGCAGTGTGACTACTGAGTGACTTGACTGAGATCCAAAGTGAATAAAAGGCCTCACTATGTGAGGCAGCGAGGCTGAGCTGCTGCAGTGCTCAGGACTTTGGCGGGTGACAGTGCATTAGAACGCTTCACACACGTTTCATTTGCCAATAAAATGCTATTGCCATTTTCCACATGGCGCATGATCTGTGTCGTCAGAAACCGTAATGATCAAATAGACATCTGCCACTGCACAAATAAACATCTGCATTTAGTCTTAAAGTGGATATATCTCTTAGATAATATGAAAACCTTTGGTAAATTTTTAATGGTGGATGACTTAAATCACTCTTGTTAAACAAAGCTAGAAAATCCATATCAAGATTTGAAATATTTTATTCACGTTGCATATTGGAGTCAAATCAGTGTTCATACAGTAAGGATTCCCACTTTCCTTTCAAGTTGACAGAGGAACATGACTCAAATCTGTGAGTCAATCAATGTCATTTTTAACTTCTTGTACTAACAATGAATTTAGAGGCCTACTTCGTGTATAAAATATTTTTTGGAATATAATTCATACTGTACATAGGAGCTTCAGTTCTTAATGTTACATGGTTTGAAATAAATTATGAACCCTTATCTCCCGAAAGCCTCTTACTGTCACTGTCACATTTGTCCTCTTTTTCTGCCATTACCTACAAGTCAAAGACAACACAGGAATAGGAAGTCAGGGCAGATATTTGCGATGAACTGAATTATCTGACAGAATCAAAATTATGTTTGGATGAAAAACCTCAATTGCCCTTTTCCATTTAAAAAGAATTACTTTATAGGCATCAGTGACAATATTGCAGGGAACATAAAGGTTATTGTCACAATTCTTTGTACCAGGCGGTTGTCATATAATAGTGAGGAATCTTGACATAAACGCTGGTGTTCGAGGCTTCATTAACAGTGAAAAACTTTGGAGGACATGCACATTCCTCTGAAACAATGAGACTCCTTGACCCTGATCCTTGAAAACTGGCAAGTTCCAACCAAACGAGACAAAGACTGAGAGACTTTTCCTTAGCCAAGGGCAGACTAGTAGACTGAGCCACAAAACAAGACAATGCCACATGATGTTGTTTATTTCCTGGAGCCAGGTGCAATTTGTGGATGATTTGAACAGTACATTGTGAATTGGAGGATTTTAAGCTTGTATTCGTGTAAACACCAGTATTTGAACAGGATTGGGCAGGGAAAGGGCAGATATCTAGGTGAGAAAATATTCTAAAATCTCAGGTTCTAGTTGCTATCTGGCGACTGAATGCCTCTTTATGCACTCGATTCATCTTTTTAACATAAATGTGCCAGGGAAATTTAAATTTGTGACAGTGTAGAATATCTGTAAAACGTTCTGTACCAAGCTTTTACTTTTTTTTGTCTACCTCAAAGGTCTGATTCACACTAGCCAGAGTCCATCTGAGCAATCACTGGACTGAAAGAAAGAAAACACCCAGGACATGTCACCGGGACAGCACAGCGCTAACGCAGACAGTCATTCATTCACCTATGGGCAGCTCAGAGTCATCAGCCTACTTGACTTTTATGTGTGGTATGTTGAAGGAAACCCACACGAACACAGAAGACAAAGGCAAAAAAATACGGAGAATAAAATCTGCCTTGCTGTGAGTGCCAGTGCGTCACTGTGCTGCCTCCTTTTACAACTTTTATTCATGAAATGGGAGAATGTGATAAAAATAAAACTGCATAAATGACTCATCTGAGTAGTACATCTGTTTAGTATTTCATTGTGTCACTGTGGTTCTCAAAATGCCACAATATGAAGGAATGAGGTCTGTCCTTTTGTCTGCATAATCACCTTAAATAGTTAAGAGCTTTAACCTTCAAAATGTTGTTATCCCCAGTCTGTTTGAAACACTGGCGGGGCATTTCAGTGTCATGGCTGGAGTATACAACTTCCAGCCCTGCTTTTCTTTGATGTGCTCTGAAGCCATCCTCTACCAGGAACTAAGAAGATCAAAGACAAGCGATTTTATCAAATGGAGCCCTTGTCGACTGTTTGTTATTCTTTATTCTTCATCAGGAACACCCACTCTGTCACCATAATGCCACAGGAGACACTGCTCTTTTAAACCTAGTGGTGATCTCCCCGTTATCCAGATGAAAACGGATTTATTCAAACCTCCCATCAACTGACCCTATAAATAGAGGCTTGTGGAAAATCTTCTGAGGGGAAAAAAAACAAGCTGTGCTCTTAAGCCGTTATTAACATGCTGATAGAAAAATGTCAAATGTTATTTTGGAGCAAAGCATTTTCTGTGAAACTAAGCATAATGCTTCCAAGTAATATTTGTGATTTGACCATGAGATTCAAAAAATGATGCAATTATCTTGTGACAATTATAAAAATCCACAGCTGAGTCATACTTTCTGATGTTACTGCACATGCTACTTGGCTGCCGGGAGGGTTGTGATGGTAATTCGCCTGTGAAACTGTATGCAGTATTGCTTAAGGGCTCTAGTGAAAGGGGTACGTGAATGATACTCAAAGTGAGTTTATCATCCAACTTGATGGAGGCTAGCCACTTAATAAATCATGTGGAAAACTGAAGCAAAAGTAACTCTTACAAACGCATTAAAAATTCGTTAGGCGCAGTAGTGTCTGGGTATAATATTTCTAGAAAAACTAAATCCTGTGTTGCTGTGTTCCAAAAAATGCCTAAAAAATGTGATGGAGCATGTAGCAGCAGGAGTCAACCAATCAGGTGAACTACTGCGATCGATGTTCACCTGTTCTTCTTGATTAGAAAACTGCCACCTGTTCTCCAGGGTGCTATTATAGCAAGTGTTATTTTGGTAAGTGCCACAGGGGGAAAAGCGCCATAACATTCCCGCTATCATTGCCCCCCCCCCACAAATCTAAAGGTTGACTCATTATTTTTGGTTCAGTGTGCCATGATGAATGCCCCTCCTTTGTGTCTCACGGTAAACGCACCTCACCTCTGAAGTATGCAGCGTATTCCTCTGGGGTTTTGTTTTCTCTGCTATCTGTTAAAATGCAAGCAGCTATGTGTCAAGAAAGGCTCCCTTTGTAATTCAAAGAGCTACACTAATGTGTTAACTACAAAAACTCCCTCTGCTACCTGGTGACACTAATGAACAGAATCATTATGACTTTATCATACCCATTTACTATGCCATGTTCGTTCAGCTGTCTACCTGTGAATGTGTGTGTAGATGTATAGGTGTTTTTATGTATGCACTTATACACATGCGTGAATTACAGCTGCAGGCAGGTCTACCGATAATGCCATTTCCTTCTGTTAGCTCTTGACTATATGTTACTTCCAACATACAGTGAAAACACGTTGCATTGCTCTATGGCAACACTGGACAGGTAGCACCCCTATATGATAGATCAGCTTTGAAAATACTCTTTTATTCAATAATCTTTACCTAAATATGGTTAATTATTAGTTTCTGCAGATTTGACTAAACACTAAACTGTTTCCTACAAGTTTTAAATGTTGCATTGCATGAGCAATGTGATCCAGTCTGACGCTGCTGCATCCATGATCCCAATCGATCCACATGACTCGGATGCCATTAAAAAACAAAGGCCGCGTCCATATGGGCCATGGTCTTTGTAAGGATGACACTGACATAAATGTATAACACACAAAAGTTATCTTTTGATTTGCAGCCATTTTAATTCTGTGCTGATGTGTAGAAAAAAAAAAACAGCCATTTTAAATTCACAGCAATTTTGAATTCAGTCCAACCAAATGAACGACCCCCTCTAGGTGGTTTGGTATGTGCTGCTGTGGTCTTTACTACACCCAACTCCTCTGGCAGCTTTGTTCTTGAAGCCGACACGTTCCTGAGCAAACTGCATTCTATATATCTACGTGTGCTCTTTGTTTCATGGGCCATCACAGTTCAAGCATGCAATAAGGGCAGAGAAGGGAGTGATTGACGTGCACATTTGACTGACATGATTACTATCTTATCAATGCATACAGTAGTCCATTAAGTCTATATCTGTTTCAGCATAAAGGAGGAAGATAACAGGATACTCACCTTCTTTAGGAGGCCGTTTCACCTCTGCACTCAGATTGCAGATCTGCCCAGCTTGTAGTTGGGGTGACAAGCAACCCTCCGTTTGTGGATTTAAAGGTAAAACCACGTTGTTGAGCATGAGCATACTCTCTGATTCTCCATCGCCTAAATGCTGAGGACAGGTGCATTTTGTGTACACGATCCCACATGTCTCCACTGTCCCTTTCTCTAATTTCAGGCAGTTTTCCAGCCACGTACAAAGTACTTGACACCCAAACTGGCTGGGGCTCGCCTTGTTCAACACCAAAAACTCCACAATGGACTTCTCTTCCTCATCCAGCTTCTGTGGTGTCAATCCGTTATAATCATAAGGGAAAACTCTCCGTAGTTGAACGAAATTCTTGTCATACAGCAAAAATACATAAATATTCTTTGAATCGCACAGGTACACTATAGACTCGTTGACTTTCAGCAATTCGTTGATCTTTTCGTGTGAGTAATGATCGAACTGATAAGCAAGCAAAGAATATTCAGAGCAGCTCAAGTCTCGCTTGTATAGCTTCAGGTAGATGCTGTATTTGGTAGGGTCTGGGTTCTCCAGCGTCCATGTACAGTTTGTATAGTTCTTAGGAAACATTTCAGTCACTGAATATGATCCATAAATGACCCCCTTCACCAGAGTGGAACACCAATAATCTTGGGCACCAGTTAATCCAAACATAACCAGAAGATAGGTGGAAAATATATAAATCAACAGGTTGCGAACAGCCTTCATCCTATGTCATTTGGCCTGCAAGGAGAGATGGAGAGGATTAAACGAGGGGATTTTAAAGCAGAGGACACAGGAAACACGAAAGATGGCCTCTATGAAGTGTGACTGATGTGCTTCATACATTTCTTATCACGTCCTAACATGAAAATGAGAATAAAAAGACATATTAACCTCAGCAACATGTCTTTTGCATCCCCGTCCTGCCTCCTTCATTACTATACTTTGTGCAAACATTGCCACCTTGTGGTTGCTCCAGCCATTATTTATTTCTTTACTTTTTTTGTGTGTGGTGGGGGGTTGAGGTGGGTGCAATAATGTGAGTCATTTAGACATTTATAATTGGGTCGTATTTGGTATGCACAATCCCTAGAGATATTCAAATATAGCTGTTTAGGATCTCTGACATCAGAAGACAAACAGTGAAAGAGGTATCCAAGTCAGTGCAGAGCGGCATGCAAATGCTCATTTTACGCAGTAGCCAGGCTCGTTTTCAAATCAAGCTGTTTTCCTCGTGATTTTGTCTGTTTCCTCAGTCAGATTATATGAGGAAGACAAATTCACAGGCTGAGAATGTCTTTCTGCGTGGCGCCTGCTCACCATGGCTTCTCTCCTGCTTTCGGTCCACCACACAACCTGCATGTCTCCGAAATTCAGGGCTTGACATATTTGACAATGCAATTTCATAAAGAGCCGGTGTGTGTGTGTGTGTGTGTGTGTGTGTGTGTGTGTGTGTGGTTGCGCTCCTTAGTGTGTTTGTGCACTAGAGAGAGAGAATGCAATGCGATGTCCTGATTGCTTTAATCCTACAGGCAATGCAGCTGTGAGCAGTGTCACAGCAGAACGTGCATGTGTGCGTGTGTGTCTCAAACTGTGTTTGCGGGCGCGCGTGTGTGTATGTGTGTGGGCGTTGAAATCCCAAGTAGGCAATAGATACCAGAGTCCAGAGATTAGATACATTTGCACTTGTGTCTCTAACTTATTCTTTGAATGATCCTAACCTGCGTGGCACACTACATCAGGAGAATATATGTGTGTTACATAAGGATTTGTGGAAGTAGAGTTTAGTGAAATCTGCTATTAGTCGCGATAAATCCGTATGATTCCACATCATTCCGCAAGATTCATGGCCAAGGCTGCAAGAGAATCAGTATTCTGGGGACGAGAAGTCGGTCGTCAATAGACGCTGATTTTTATTCCTTCTAAGAGCAATTTTGTCTGGAGAGGACATCTGACTATAGAGACACGGGCATCATCTCATGCAGTGTCAGTTCGATGCTCAGGCGCTTTAAAGTGATTTTTGCCTCTTAAGAGAGAGAGATCAGCTCTTATAAATCATCTGTTAAGCGCCCTGGACTAATATGAGCTGATGAAAGCTCCAAAGCCATCATGTTGAATAGACAGGACAAATATGTAACAAGGGGGAGGCTAAACTTTAACTGAAAGATGACACATGAAAATGAGCTTTTCAGCTGCCACGCAATAATAGGTAACAACAATGATCTTACCTTACACTGCGGAAGCTATGGCTATTTTTCCAACATACTTGACCACATCCTTTATTAATAAATTCTGCAGCCCTCCAGTGAATCAGTGCTCCCCATTCCTGGCGATAGAAGTCCGGCGCAACAAGATATTCAATGGATGAAAATAAAATGCGTTACACTCCGGTCTGCCCGCTCATATCCCCCCGTCTCCTTCTTCTGGGTTTTTCCCATCAAAACGGAGCGCAACAACACACGCCAGCCACCGAGAAAGAGAGAGAGAGAGAGACAGAGAGAGAGGGAGAAAGAAATTCTTGGAGTGATGAAAAGAAGCGAGCAATTCTTACAGTATTACCATAAATTAATTCGGCAGACTCCACGTCTCTATTCCCACTGATATGTTTTCTCCGGTAAATCGCGCGCCTCCCCTCCGGAAGAAAAGAGGGGGGATAAAAAAAAAAAAAGATCCGTCGTGGGTGGATGTTTGGGGCTAGTGAGTTACAACAGAGAGAGAAATAGACGCGCTTTGCTTGGTGCTTGCAGAGCTCCAGGAGCAGGCTGCAATATCACGTCACACACTCAGCCGCTAAGATAAAGCACGTACGTACGCTTCTTACTGGCGCTGCGTCTGGCACCACCAATACTTTCTCCCCCCCCTCCTCCCGTGTACGCCTCCCCTTAACTCGAGTCAAAAGGGTTTCCCCCCATGAACTGGACCCTCTCACTTGTGCTCAGACAACGCTGCTGCGGCGTTCTCCAAAACAGGAATATTTCATGGACTTTTTTTTTTGCCTTTTTTTTTTTTCAAAAAGGGAAAGGGTGCATGAGAATATAATGATTACAAATACAACCCGCGCGCTCAATCAGTGGGACGTGAAAGCTCGCTGGTGTGTTTGGTAATTCTTCCCTTTTCTCCTGTTGGGTGAAAGCCGCTGTTGTTTTGATTTCTTCGCTGGTTGGCGGGTGTACAGCACGCTGCACGCCCTCCTGTTCGCCACCTTCACGCTGCTGGAAGAACAAATGCTTATGGAGCAACTTGAGCTCTCTGGAAAGTTGTTCCGGGTAGTCTTGCACCTTGCAGGTGAATCTCAAACCTGCTCTTCCCCCACCCCTTCAGCTAGAGGTGTGTGCTCTCAGGGGAATGCTTATTTGTAGCCTACAGTGTATTCAAGGTAAGAATAAAAAGCATTCATGAGGTAGTTGATAAATAAAAGGAACTCATAAAGGCACCTTCAGCTTTCATGTTTTTACCTCCTTCTTTTATATGCTTTGCCCTAACATTATCAGAGGCATTCATTTAAGAATCGTCAGTCAATGAAATCCACTCTAACCTCCAGGCTTCAGCAGTTGGCCACTGACAATGCAGCATCAATGGCTCTGCAATAGCCTTCATTACCTATTGGCTGAATTCAGAATGGAAGGATGGACATGAGGATGGGGAGTTACACATTTGAGTCGCCTGCTGATCACACCGCCTTCCCATTGAAGATTCATAATTATAGGCCTACAATCTTCATATGCATTAAAAAAAAGTTAATGAATGAGAAATGAATTTGCATGACCTTCAGACATGTTGGAGCTCAAGTAATTTGCATCTTCAAAAAGGGAGACATTAGATTGGGCAGTGCAGACCGAAGCAATTGTTCCCCAGTACCATTCCATGTTTTTCTCCACTTTTTTTTTGAGAGTTGGGTCAGCTGCTCTAATCATTTTGCTGTGCACAGTTAACTCTCATTAGCCTGGCCGTCTCTTTCAGGCCTTGACTGAATGTGTTCCATCTGAGCAGATGCTGCATGAAGAGCCTATTTGTTTATTTATTTACAGGAAGTTTTCAGCATGAAGTGTTTTTGTAAGCCAGCCTTTCCAAAGATTGCTCCAGAACAGCACAGAGTTTTAGCCACAGCAGTGTGAGAATCTGAAAGAACCAGTTTATATCCCCAACATCCTGTACCATGCAGCGTTTAAAACGTTGTTAATCTGTTGCCAAACTTATAAAGGAGATTGGAGTCATTTGGCGCAGTTGCTTGCCGTGGCCTGTCACTGCGGTAGCTTTCTAATTCCAGTCTTCCCCAGGCAGCCAGTGGAACATCAGGGGTGACCTCGAGGCAGCACACTTTCCATGGCCATAATGAAGACGTTTAGGGAGCTTTTGGCTCAGTGAGCTAAGAGGTGGAAGAAATTCATGCAAAGCCTTATTGAACAATGAAAACACAATAAGTATCTCTCCACTGACTCATGGGGAGGCCAATTGCCAAGCTTCAGGAATGCTGCCATCACTCTCCCCTGCAAGGACGAGTCCAAATGGCACCTTGCATGTTTGGTCATTTTGCAATCGGGAGAAAAGATTAAACTGTGGTGGCTGAATAAGATATAATGACAAGACTGGGAAGAGCTAGAGTAAGATGGTGAGCATCATTGTGCAATCACAATGACATGTGATATACCCGATCAAAGATGTATTCCTTGCAATGGTTTAAAAGTTAAACATGAATAAATTAATAAAAACATAAATAGCATCATGTGGTCTGTGTTGTGGTCCTAAACTATGCTCAAGAGCGTAATTTGCCTTATGTTCAAGTCATATGTACAACAGATTGAATAGCTAAGGCAGTGGCTATGTATTTATAAACACGCATACATTCAGAAAGCCTTTTGGATTTTCTGAAATATCTTAATATTGTGTCCAGTAGCACACACAACAGATCAATTACTCCTTGTTTAGAATCTCCCAGAACATCTAATAGCAGTGGCAGAATCTGTCATATTATTCTGTCAACTCAAGAATCTGTTTGAGCACATGGATTTTGAATTATTCATGGCCTAGCATAAAGAATCGCCCTATTATCACCTGCTCCTGTTTGTGTGACTGAGCCTGCGCTCACGCATGTGTGTGCGAGTGCCAAATAGTACATATGTTTGATTTAATGGCTGTTTTACAGCATTCATGTCCGTTACAAAATCTAATGCGATAAACATCAGTCTATTGATCATGCGATACACATCAGTCTATTAATGTAAACCAACCTTTAAGAATCATTATAGTATGATTGCTT